CTCCTGATAAATGCTTCACAACTCTAGAATATATATCAATATCTTCAACTACTACAAAATGGCGGAACTTTTAATAATTGCCTGAATACATTGACATTTAACTACATTATATGAGGTAATAAGCTTGAGATCAGTTCAGAAGATGCTCGAAATGGTTGCCTTGAATTTCTTGACATATGAACAGCCTATCCGATATTTCACGCCGAACATTTTCGAACACAGTAACGTCAATATCTCTACAAACATTTATTATTCTCTGCTGCATATACAATATTGAAGCAGGTTCCGTTTTGCACACCTTTTGCTTCAAATAGATACAAAAAAAAGGCCAAAGGTGTCAAATCGGGCGAGCAGGCTGACCATTCTGTAGGACTTCGACGGCCATTCCAACGACCGGGAAAAGTAGTATCCAAATAGTTTCTTAATGGTCTCAAGTAATGTGGTGGTGCTCCATCTTGTTGGAATACAATATCCATATCGAATTCATTATGATTCGCTTCGACGATTTCAGTGATAAGAGGATCCAACAGTAGTTTTCAGCATATTCAAATACAGTTCCCCTATTGAATTTTGATCAATAAATAGAGGTCCTACAATATGGTTTCCCAATATTCCTGCACAAACGTTATTTTTTTCTGGATATTGGGTATGTGTTTCCCGGAAAACATGAGGGTTGGTGTCACTCCAATAACAGCAATTTTGTCTGTGAACATTGCCGTTTAAAAAAATGTATATTCGTCATTAAAACAAATATTGTGGAGATAGGTAGGATGCCTTGCAATGGTTTTCGTCATGATTTTGCAAAATTCTGTTCTTCGAACAGGGTCATCTTCAGTTAATTGATGTACCATTTTAATTTTGTATGTATGATACCTATTCCTCTTCAAAAGTCTCCACCCAGTAAAAGGAGACCTCACAAAACATTCGCGATGGAATAAGTAGACTGTTCAGGATTTACTATCATCTCACCAATTATTTGCACTCGATGTTCTTCCGGAATGGACGGATGACTTGGGCTCTTTTTGTTATGTACACTACCGGTAGTTGTGAATTTGTATACAAGTTCCCTCAAATATTTTCTACAGATAGGACGATTCGGAAAACGTTCATTGAAAATAATTTCGGTCTCGTGAAAGTTACGCGTCGCACCGTAAATAAAAATCGCTTCAATTTTTTTTTCCAATGGACGAGAATTGACCATTTTAGAGATTGTTGACGTGGTCCCTTTCTACTAGTAAAACCGAAAACTAAATGAAAATATTCTAAGTGAACAATGATGTTCAATGTCAGTACGATATTTAAAAAAAAAAAAATAAATTAACAAACTTTATTGGTTTCTTGGAATTGCCATATGGCAGATAAAAAGGAATATTTCTAGAAATATCGATATTAATGTGTTTGTCTTCAGGAAATTATTAAATGTTCCGTCATTTTGTAGTAGGTGACGATATTAACTTCATATTCTAGGGTTGTGAAGTATTCGTCAGGAGCTTCAAAATGATGTGTCACAAGACCCCATTTCCATTTAATTTTTTTTCCCAGTTGGCGCCCAGTCGCCATCTTGAAAGTTTCAACTGTCAATTTCACTTCAAAATAAAGTATTCATGCATTAATTTCAATATACCAAATTTCAATTTTTTGAGTTGACCCGTTCAAAAAATAAAAGGGGGGGCATTAAAGAAATGCACTGCATGAAATGAGGCTTAAAAATATGTACATTATTAGTATCATTATTTAATTCTCTAAAAGTAACAATTTACTTATGGTAGCTATAATATACAGAGTGATTATTAAACATGCAGCAAACATTTCAGGGACTACTCCTTGGACTATTCTGAGGATATTTTGTTCTTTGATGATTTTTGATAGGCCGTTTTGTTTCGAAGATACGGTGCGAAAAAAAAATTGACACTAACAATTTATTACCAAAAATTACATGTAATGTTTCTTAATCTACAAGAACTGTTGGAACTGACTACCCCCCGCTCGGATGCAAGAATCCAATCTTCTCCTCACCGACTCCCGAACTCTTTCAAAAACACCAGGATCGTTTCTGATTGAGTTACACCCAGCAATTATTCGATTTCTCAAATCTTTCAGTGGAGTAGTATAAATTTGATTTTTTATTACTTGGTAGGTCCAGTGTAGTACGCTATAATTTATTTCGGCTACATTAATAATTTTAAAATTACCTAAATTTTTATTGTCGAAATTCTATTTCGCCCCTTATCTTCGAAACAAAGTGCCCTATCAAAAATCACCAAAGAACAAAGCATCCTTAGAATAGTACAAGGAATAGTCCCTTAATTTGTTGACGCGTATTTAATAAACACCCTCTATGTACATACACAGAATAATCAAAAGATTTTATTGATAAATAATCTTTCCTTACATTATTAGTATCCAAAAAATTCAAGTATTAACCTGATCTTGTCTAAAGTTAAACAATGTCAATATCGAACAGTTAATTTAGATTAGTTTAAGGTATTACTTCTGTCGGGCGTCCCGAGACACACACGTTTTTAAACTGAGTTTCTAGAGTATCTCCCTGAAATGAAGAAATTAAAGCATGACTTTAAATTAATCATTCCTCCTGGTTGGAGGAGATGAGAATAAGTCCTAGTTATTTATAGCCCGATACCTAAAGTTGTATGAAATATCAGCTCGTTAATTTTTAGTTTTCATTTTCAGGCACGTTCGAGGTATAACAAAGGGAAAACATTTGAATGAAAACTAAAAGCTTGGCTCGCTTTGATGCCATAAAACAAAACTACAGGGTGCCACAAATATAACAATGTAGGGTTAAGTTAGGAAGCGATTTATTTTAGTTTCCTGAGCATTGTTTCATCTTGAGTTGGATTAACTAATACATTTCAGTTAAATTGAAGTGCTCTCAAGTACATCATTGCACAAGCTTTCTATAATCGAATAAGCCTTTATAGTGAAGTAATATTTCAATAAATATATGATTTTTCGCTTGAGAAACCAGTAACTACTGGTTTCTTCCGTCTAAATTTAAGAGGTAATCAACCTTCCAGAAGTAGATATCTGTTAAAGACAATTTCCTCTAGATGCGATGCTTCAACTTGTTCCAAGGAATTGAATAATGGACAATTATGGTGAATTTGCTCGATTAGCAGGTAGCAAGTTACAATTAGGAAGTGACAATTATTAATTGTAAGTTGAACTCCCACTTTCCGATGGACACGTTCATGCAGAAAAATTAAAATTAAAAATGACGAGTAGAAGTTAGCCAACTTTTAATTTTCTTACTTTAATTATATCAAATTTTTCACTATTATGCATCTAGTGCGCAAATGATTGCTGATTGACCCATTTCAGAACAAGACAGTAGAAATGAGGGACAATCTAATGATTTTCGAATTTCACAACGAACGAACTTTGGCAAATGATGTTCTAGTAATGGCGCGACATGCTTGCGTGATTCTTTCTCGCAATTCCCCAAGTGACGCAGGTTGAGTTTTATAAACAACAATTCATTTGTTCGGATAATTAGTATCCAACCAGTGCCTAACTGGAGCTGCATAGTGAGGAGATGCTCCATCTTATTCGAAGTGCAGCAAATCTTCGTCTAAGCTAGGTTGCCTTGGTCGTCTCTTTGGTTCTCTAATTCAAGCAGAATTGAAGGTTCGATAGTGTTTTCCAGCATAGCGAGATAAATGTCGCCACTTGAATTGCTTGGTATGAACAAGAGACCAATTACATCATCGCCTAATATTCCTGCCCAAACATTCAGTTTTTCAGGATATTGAGTGTGACCTTCTCTGAATCGATGCGGGTTCGCATCACTCCATTGCTGACAGTTTTGTTTATTAACATTACCATTTAGCATGAAAGTACATTCATCACTGAAACAAATATTTTTTAACATTCTCGGTTCAACGCGAATTCTTTCAGTCATGAGTTCACAAAACTCAATTCGTCGGTCTGGATCATCGCCTAGTTAATGGAGAATTTGTGTTTTGTACGGGTGGAACTTATGTAATTTCAACACCTTTCTAACCAACTCATGTGAAAGTCCTATCACCGCAGATACTTGACGTATTATTGCAGTAGGCTCCATTGCAAAATTTTCAAGGACCTCAATTTGGGTTGCTTCATTCAGTAATCTTGGGAAGTTTCTTTTCTCCAATAAAATCTAAAAGCTCTAACGCTTGCGTACCTACTATTTTATTGTGACTTTTCAATTGGCAATGCATAAATGCCATCGTTTTTGTGACTTGTTTCTTGCTAATTGAAACTTGTTACTTGCTAATCGAGTGTGCATAAATTCACCATTATACAGAATAAAAATTTGAAAGGTACCCACTTTATGTTCTCTGGGGTTAGGATGGCAGACGGACCATGAAATAGAAACAGTTCAAATTCAATAGGCTCAATTTACCTTAAAGATGAAACCAGACGATAATATCATATCTATTTTGCGGGTTTGTTGGCCGTGATCAGCAGGGTTTCATGGCTGATGTTCCGACTGCGGTAGACATTACAAAAGCGATAAAGCGACAGTCGAAGTGCTCTGGTTGTTTACAGTTAAGAGTCGAAATTACTTGAAATTCCGAGTTCAAAATTGAAAATTTTGCTTTGTTCCGAATTTGAACTCTGAACAGTTATTTTTTGGTCTTGCCACGCCTTTATGAATGATTAATATTTATAGAATTCGAAATTCTAAAAACTATGTTATTCCTCTGTTTTGCGTACAGAAATATCTCATGATATTTATTATTCCGGTAGTTGTATAGCTTTGTTGGGCAATTGCCCATAACCCATAATAATTCCGGATGCTGTTAGAGGAAATCGTGAAGTTTTTTGTTCATATGCATAGTGTGAGAGTTTTATTGTCACCACTTGAAATAATTTTTAAAATATTGAACTTATGAAGTAAACGCTGATTGAGTGGAGTATCTTAGATTTGCTCAAAAGTCAGTGAAGTTTCCCGACCATGTTTAGAAACGGATTTGAGCATTAGCATTTCTGATATCTTTATTCATCTTCGGAAATTTTTACCGGCAAATTTTGAGTTGGACAAACTCTACAACAATAAAATGAGATACTGGGGAGGACCAACTGAAATTTAAGATGCCTCTTTTCGTACCAGGATCGATATTACAAAATGGAATAATACATTGATTTACTAAACTAGAGTTTTCATCATAACGTTCCAAATTTACTTCAAAAAAGCTCTCATCAGTTGGCAGAAACGCAAACCTTCAACACACCTGAAACTTTGCTCACCCAGTATAAAAACGGGAGGGCAAAATTCCAAGCTCGTCAAAAATTCGCCAGACGGTGACGACGGGAGCTCTCGACAGCTTTCAAATTGGAGGCTGGGCGGTATGAAACAAACTTGCACCAATATTTCTGCTAGTTTTCCGCAGCGATATAATTAGCTCATCTTTGGACAGCACCTGGAAAAACAAACAAAAAACCTAATTAAATTGCAGACATAAACAAGTGAGAAAAATTAGGATATTAGTTAAGAGGTCAAGTTAAAATAACGAAAGTTTATAATAAATTCAAATATTTTTGAGTTTATGATAGACTGTTATAGGTGATACATTGTTTGTCTTGCTTTCTGGTTAATCATCACAACTATATCCATCATTTCGAAAATAATCTCGCCAAACAATATTTAATTTTCCAATTACTAGCCAATCAATCGATGATCCAAATAATTGGTATATTTTTCCATTTCAACTCCAGCCACCACTTGTATTTTTTATTTGAAAACAGTAGTAGAAACAACTTTCATTGTAGATATTGGAAAAGAATAATGCTCCTTCTTCAAATCAGTATTTCTTGCTGAAATATGACAAATTGGGATACAAAATTATTTAAATCATGAAATGATTATATTGATTTTTTTTCGAAGAAAAGCTCTACTTTATTTCATCAAAACAGCTTTTCAATATATAGTTCCATAAATTGTTAATTTGTTGTGTTTATTAGTTTCTTTATGTGATACTTCAGCCTGGCCAACGAGTAATATTTTCTCAATCAATGTGTTTTGAGTTAAATACACCTGAAAAAGCGATAGAAATGTTTTTGGGTACAATTTAGCTAGTAATCCGTACACACTTCAATAGTAAATTTACAATCAATACCAATACCAATCAATTCGTCATCAGAGACGAATTGATTGGTATAGTCTACAAAGATTACTCATCTTCTATACAATTTTTGGGTCATCCATTCATTAATAATATTATCAAAGTAATTTCCTTCAGAAAACAAAAAACATTCAAGTTATGTTGAATTTTGTCAAAGAACAAAATTGTTACAAGATTAAGTTGCATTTGTCAATAAGACATTTTCCTCACTCGTAAAATTTTGTGTTATTAATTGTATTAATTGTGAAGGTTATATTTTTCTCATGAAGGATCAGATCTTGAAAAAAAAAAACAATTTTCATCATTATATAGAAACTTTCAAAAAGAAGAAAGAAATCAAATACATACATTTTACAAAGATGTGTAGATTATGCAAAGAAGTGCAAACTNTTTTCAGACGCACTGAATAGTAGAAACAATCAGTGGACGAGTCAAAAACATCTGCAAAAATAAAAGTTGAAATTCCGAGTTAGAGATCGAAAATTGAAAAAAAAACTCTTGATAAAGTCTAATGATAACTTGGTTAGCATTGTTAGCATCGAAAGATAATGCTCTAGTTCTGATATGGAAATAGTATATTGTGTAACAAGTGCAGAAAGTAATTTATTCCATACGATGTGTGAATGTTGCGACACAATCGAATGCACACTATACTTTTTCTACGATGAAATTAACAATATATTCATTCAACTGTATACTAGATATTTGAAAACTGAATAGCTAATTATGAATGTTAATGACATTTTGCTTGATAGACTATCAAAAATATATCTCTTGCCGTTGTGGTCGTCCTGTCGCTTAAGGGTAGAATTATCGTCGAAAACAATTGCTTGTATACTTTTCAGTATATGGAGACCTTGAAAACTGAGCATTCTGCTGTGCCATATTATTAAATTTGTTTATTCCAACACATTGCACTGTATACGTTTCCTCTTCTGGTAGTTTGTAGAAAAGTAGTCATAAGATAAATGTTTTATAAATTTTCTAGGAACTTTTTTTGTTCTCATTATATTTCTTAAAACAGTCCAGTCCATATACTGAATATCGCACATTTTAATTTTTTTAGGTCTTCTCATTTGCATGTTTCTGTTATTCCTGATACTAGGACAATCTACTAAAAAGGCGAAATAATACTAGGAAAAAAAAATATTGTAAACAATTTTGATGAATTTGTAAATCTTAATTTTTTTATTTCAGTTTCAAAAGAATTACTATATACTGGAAGTACTGTGAACTAACGTGATAGTGAAAATATAAAATAGGTAAAAGTAGAAATAATTTTTGTCAGTACTTTGTTAATGAAAAAAAAAGACCTAGAAACAAAAAAAAACTAAATGTGTGAGATCCACATAAAGGAATCATTGAAATCTATTAAAATGGAATGAAATTATTGGCCCATTTTCAAATTTTCATTTAGTTTATATGCAAATCTAAGAGTTTGATGATTTTGTCATGGAACCCATAATCAGAACTTCACCAAATTGAATGGGACTAAATTTGAAGTGACCCTTCGAATAATAAATGAATCATCAAAATCGATTCACATCGTAATTTTCGCTGGACATGGTAATGAAAACTTCCTCATTTATTTGAAGTCGGTTAACAAATTACATACAAATCACATACTTATGACAAGAAAAAACAAAAATATGTTTTTAATAATTGTACCCAAGTATCTGTCAAAAATCAGAGGAAACATTTTTTTGAAGGTGAATGATGAGGTTTAGAAAAAACAGAGTTAGAAAGAAAGAACTGTCTGCAACGATATTATAGAAATAATAGTATATTAAAGTTATGATAATATCTATAATATTATGGTTGGATAAATTCTTGAAATGTGATTTTATAATCCGACTCTAATTGAAATACGGACAGCAAACTTTCTGCTATCTTCTACGGAGTTGTTCCAGTGGCAATGGGTATTGACATACATCCAAATGAAAATAACTAAGAGATAAACTCAATACACTGTTACGAAGTTAAGAGAATATGCAGACTGCTTAATACAAATTTACTCAGAAGGAATTTCAAATAAAATTAATGAAATACATTGTATTCAATCATGATCTGATTCCCAACTGCAATTTCCTAGATTTTTTCAATACAAAAACTTTCTCATGTATCCTTGATTTATAAGAAAATATTTTCACAAACTATAAATTCAGGTAACCAGTTTTAGGCAAATCACCTACAGTATTTTTATAGTTTTCTCCCCAACAAATATTTGATGCGAGTCTTCAAATTAATTGTATTTTTCATTTAGAAATCGATTGAAGGAAATCAATTACCAAATAATAAATAAAACTTGCCACAGAAAAACAGAGGAGCATTTGAATATACTTTTTTTCAGTTTTATTGCTTTAATAAAGATGCACAGTAAGTTTTTTCTCGAAGTTCTTCCATGCACAGACGACAGCGATCAATTACACTTTTATTGTATGCGATGATTGTCACAACTTTTTTATTTATTAACCGATTGAAATGAATCAAACAGTAAATATAAAGTGAAGTCTACATTAGTGAAAACCGTACCAAAATCGATTGAGCTGTTTTTGAGATTAGCGCGCATAGACAAACAAAAATATATTCAAATTATCTAAAAGGACAATTCGTTCAGGCCAGTTTCAAATTACTATCAATCAAATCAAATCAAAATATGCTTTATTACCCAAGATCTGAACATCTCATTGGCAAAGTCTAGTAAAGTAAAACGTTTATCTGGGACATTAAATTAACAAATATAAGCTAAAAAATAATGCTTAGAGACAAGAGCAGAGTTTATAGACAGAACAATATTAAGCCCAGCTGAATAGATACAAATATAAGTACACGATAATATGAATATTGAGTAAATATAAATATACAGTGTATATCTTTAATGTCCCCTCCCTTTATTTTTTGAACGGGTCAACTCAAAAATTGAAATTTGAGATAATGAAATTAATGCATGAATACTTTATTTTGAAGTGAAATTTACAGATGAAACTTTCAAGATGGCGCCTGGGCGCCATCTAGGAAAAAAAATTAAAATTTGAAGCTCCTGACGAATACTTCACAACCCTACAATATTAAGTCAATATCTTCACCTACTACAAAATGGCGGAACATTTGATAATTTCCTGAAGACTAACACATTACTATCGATATTTCTAGAAATATTCCCTTTTATCTGCCATATGGCAATTCCAACAAAGCGATAAGGTTTTATTAAGTTATTTTTTGTTTATAAAAACGACAAAAAATGTCAGTACGATAATGAACATCATTGTTCAGTTAGAATATTCTCATTTAGTTTTCGTTTTTCCCAATATCCAGAAAAAACTAACGTTTGGACATGAATACTGGGAAACCATATTGTAGGAGCTCTACTTATTGATGAAAATATAACAGGGAAACTGTATTTGAATATGCTGGAAACTACTGTTGACCCTCTTATCACTGAAATCGTCGAAGCGGATCCTAACGAATTATTGGATATGGATATTGTATTCCAACAAGATGGAGCACCACCACATTACTCTAAACAAGTAAGGAACTATTTGGATACTACTTTTCCCGGTCGTTGGATTGGCCGTCGAAGTCCTACAGAATGATCAGATCGCTCGCCAGATTTGACACTTTTGGACTTTTTTTTATTGGGCTATTTGAAGCAAAAGGTGTACGAAACTGAACCTGCTTCAATATTGTGTATATTACAGAGAATACTAAATATTTGTCAGATATTGACGTTACTGTGTTCAAAAATGTTCGGCGTGAAATATCGGATAGGCTGTTCATATGTCAAGAAGTTCAAGGCAACCATTTCGAGCATCTTCTGAAGTGACCTCAAGTTTATTTCCTCATATTATGTAGTTAAATGTCAATATATTCAATATATAGGCAATTATTGAAAGTTCCGCCATTTTGTAGCAGGTGAAGATATTGACTTCATATTCTAGGGTTGTGAAGTATTCGTCAGGAGCTTTTAAATGATGTGTCACAAGACCCCCTTTCCATTTAAATTTTTTCCCAGATGGCGTCCAATCGCCATCTTGAAAGTTTCATCTGTCAATTTCACTTCAAAATGAATTATTCATGCATTAATTTCATTAGGTACCCCAAATTTTAATTTTTTGAGTTGACCCGTTGAATAAATAAAAGGGGGGAGGGGACATTAAAGACATGCACTGTATAATGCTTCCTAATAAAGATTGATAGCCATTTCGGGTTGATTCCAATAACTTGTTTACACAGAGCTACATGCCAATTACTCGACAAAGCCTTCGTAGAATTCGTCCACTCTATAATAGGGCCTCTAA